ACGTATATACTACTCTCTCTCTACTCTACTCTCTACTCTACTCTATATATATATATATATATATATATATATATATATATATATATATATATATATATAGATAGCGTGGAACAGAATATTGAATCTCTCTTCTTCATCGTCAATCAGAAACCACATAATGCAAAGAAAATGACAAATGCTATGAAAGAAATTGATGAAGGAAAAAAGGGGAAGGCAACAACGGCATGTCCATCTGTTATTTAGAACACCACCATTTTCACTGTTCAGATATGAGTTCGTAGAGAGAGAATGTCCAAACCTACCTCCTACTCTTGAAGACCGACCCTGCCTAATCTTTACTCACTGGGGGACGTTCTGCAGTAAAAGAGGAACAAACTTTCATTCAGTCCCTTGAATCCCGCTCTCTCTCTCTCTCTCTTTCTCTCTCTCCAAATGCTTAAGACATGGGTCATCCTCCGGCAGGAATTTACCTCTTTGCCTTTATATGCAGCCATTGCAAGGTCGTATTCAGCTTTCTTTTGAGTAGCGTGGGCAATATACGAAGCCTTTTCCTGAACAAAGAAAAACTCAAGGTAAATACACAATTGTCTCTCTCAAAAAGTCGAGTAAATTTACATTTCTCTCTCTACAATTTCATTATCCTAGTCCCTAAAGATAAGTAAGTTGGTGACAGAGAAGGGGTACATTTCTCTCTCTACAATTTCATTATCCTAGTCCCTGAAGATAAGCAAGTTGGTGACAGAGAAGGGGTAGAATGAAAAATGACAAAACCTGATCAGTCATGGACTTCCATTTTTCTCCTCCAGCTTTCCCAACCTGAATTTACAGAACTTATATAAAAAATGACAAAATGTGAAATAATAGAGACTTAGAGAGAGAGAAATCATTACAACGGCAATGCCCTTTGTGTCGGGATTCTCCTTCTTGAAGGTCACCCGAAATGCGTCCCTGAAAGCACAGCAAAAACGATTCAGAGAATTAACACTCTCTCTCTCTCTCTCTCTCACATAAACTTGCATAAACAATGAAAAAGGGGAAGCAAAACAGTCAAAACTCTACATGAACCAGTTGAGCAGAGCTCTCTCTCTCCCCCTCTCCAGGCAGTTGACCAAAACACTGTCCATCTAGACAGTTGAGGAAATGTCTCTCTCTCTCTCTCACAAAAGGAGAAGAATAAACTTTCACCTAAAAGGAAACCGAGAAGGAGACGCGAGGTTACATAAAGAAGAAGAAAGCATACGGAAGAGAGAGAGAGAGAGAGAGAGAGAGAGAGAGAGAGAGGGAAGTTGCATTAAGAAGATGAAAGCAATTAAAGAAACAGAGAGAGAAAGAGGGAGGTTGCATTAAGAAGATGAAAGCAATTGCAGAAACAAAGAGCACTCAAAGAAACAGAGAGACAGAGTAATGTTGCATTAAGAAGATGAAAGCAATTAAAGAAAGAGAGAGAGAGAGATTACATAAAGAGCAAGAAAGCAGAAGGAGGCCTCTTTGGCTGGTTTGGGTCCTTCTCTCTCTTGCTTTTCTTAGCATGGTTTGGGTCCTTCATAGAACCCGCCCTCTTCCTGAAATTTCATACAACGTAAAAACCACACTTCATACTTTATAGCTACGACAAAAATTAGTTAAAGTCCATAATAAGCCTGAATCGGAAATCAAAACCAGGAAAAGATCTCTCTCTCTCTCCCTCATATATGAAAATTCAACACAAGAGGACATACTTGATTTCTGGTTTTAAAGGATGAACATTCAAGTCTACCGCCTTCATTTTCCCTTTGAAATTCAAATTACTCTGCAAAAATAAACCACTATAGACATCAAAATTCAATTATTCCGCAACTTAAATTTGAGGAAATAAGAGGCGGCAAACTAGGATGAGATCCCGCCATAAAACTGAGCCCAACCTTTTATAACCGCTTTACGAAAATGACGATTATAACGCTAAAGGCAAATGTGACGATGACTAAATGCCCCTGATTTCACGACAAACGCGTTTTTCACTATAGAGTGTTAGGGGTTATTTTTGGCATTCAGATACCGAAATTTACAAAATTAAAGGGCTCAAATGTCAGAAAATGAAAAAGTGAGGGCATAATCAGAAACAGAGGACCGTTAAAAACAAATTTCAGAGTACAGAAAATTGAAACAAAATAGGGAAACATTGAGACGAAATTTATGAATTAACACACTCTCTCTCTCTCTCTCTCTCTCTCTCTCTCTCTCTACTACTACTACTACTACTAACTAACACTACTACTACTACTACTACTACTACTACTACACTACACTAACTACACTACTACTACTACGTACTACGTACTACGTACTAACGTAACGTA